CTGCATTTTGTCAAATGTTTTTTCAGTGTCCACTCATATGATCATGTGTTTTTTATCTTTCATTTTGTTTATGTGGTGTATTACATTTATTGATTTGCAAATATTGTACCAGCCTTGCATCCCTGGGATGAATCCCACTTGGTCGTGGTGAATAATTTTTTTGATGTATTGGTGGATCCGATTTGCTAGTATTTTGTTTAGGATTTTGGCATCTATGTTCATCAGGGATATTGACCTGTAGTTTTCTTTCTTTGTAGTGTCTTTTTCTGGATTTGGAATTAGAATTACAGTATGCTGGCCTCATAAAACAAGTTTGGAAGTCTTCTTTGTTCTTGACTTTTTGGAATAGTTTGAAGAGAATGGGTGTTAGTTCTTCTTTAAACGTTCGGTAAAACTCTCCTGTGAAGCCTTTTGGGCCTGGGCTTTTGTTTGCTGGGAGAGTCTTGATTACATCTTCAATTTCCTTAGTTGTTATTAGTCTGTTTAAATTTTCTCTCTCTTCTCAGTTTAGGTTTGGGAGACTGTGTGTTTCTAGAAATTTGTCTATTTCACTTAGCTTGTCTAATTTGTTCCCATGTAATTGTTCATAGTATTTATTACCGATCCTCTATAATTCTGTGGTGTCAGTTGTTACTTCTCCTCTTTCATTTCTGATTTTGTGTATTTGGGTTCTCTCTCTTTGTTTCTAGGTGTGTCTAGCTAAGGGTCCACCAATCTTGTTTATCTTTTCAAAGAACCAGCTCTTTGTTTCATTGAACCTTTGAATTGTTTTTTTGGTCTCCATGTCGTTTATTTCTGCTCTGATCTTTACTATTTCCTTCCTTCTACTTACTCTGGGGTTTTCTTTTTGTTTGCTTTCTAGTTCTTTAGGTTGTGAGGTTAGATAGTCTATTAGAAATTTTTCTTGTTTCTTGAGGTAGGCCTGTAGTGCTATGAACTTCTTGCTCAGAACTGCTTTTGCTGCATCCCATAGATTTTGTGCTGTTGTGTGTTCATTTTCATTGGTTTCCAGGAAGTTTTAAATTTCTTCTTTGATATCCATGGTAACCTATTGATTGTTCAATAACATGCTATTTAGCCTCCGTGTTTTCAAATGTCTATGCATGTTCTTGTTGCAATTGGTTTCTAGTTTCATGCCATTGTGTTCTGAGAAGATGCTTGATATGATTTCAATCTTCTTGAACTTTTAGAGACTTAGTTCGTGCCTTAACATGTGGTCTATCTTTGAGAATGTCCCATGTGTACTTGAGAAGAATGTGATTTCTGCAGTTTTGGGGTAATTCTCTGTAGATGTTTATTAAATCCATTTGATTTAGTGCTTCATTTAGAGTCTCTGTTTCCTTGTTAATTTTTTGTCTATAGGATCTATCCAGTGATGTCAGCGGGGTGTTGAAGTCTCCAGCTATGATTGTATTGCTGTTGATTCTCCTTTGAAGTCCTCCAGAAGATTTTTAATATATGTTGGTGCTCCTATAATGGGTGCATATATGTTTACCAAGGTTATATCTTCCTGTTGGATAGATCCTTTCAATATTATGTAGTGGCCTTCTTTGTCTCTAATTATGGCCTTCATTTTGAAATCTGTTTTATCAGATATGTGTATTGGTACCCCAGCTTTTTTTTGCTTTTCATTTATTTGAAAGATTTTTTTTCCATCCCTTCACTTTCAGCCTATGTGAGTCTTTTGTTGTGTGGTGAGTGTCCTGTAAACAACATATATGTGAGTCATGCTTTCTTATCCAATCAACTACTCTGTCTTTTTATTGGAGCATTCAATCCATTTACATTTAAGGTAATTATTGATATGTATTTATTGCCATTTTTGTTCATTGTGGTTATATTTTTCTTCCTTTTTCTTCTGCTAATTATAGCTGTCCTTTTAGTATTTCTTGCAGTGCTGGTTTGGTGCTAATATATTCCCTTAGCCTTTTTTTGTGTGTGGAAATCTCTTTAATTGACCTTCTATTTTGGTTCGTGCCCCTAGCAGGAACCAAACCGGGGACTCTCTGGTCCGCAGGCCGAAGCTCCAACTGCTAAGCCAAACTGACCAGGGCTGACCTTCTATTTTGAATGATAGCCTTGCTGGATAGAGTACTCTTGGATTCAGATCCTTGTTTTTCATGACCTTGATTACTTCATGCCATTCCCTTCTGGGCTGTAGTGTTTCTGTTGAGAAGTCAGCTGAGAGCCTTATTGGGGTTCCTTTGTAGGTAACCTGTTGCTTATCTCTTGCTGCCTTTAAGATTCTCTCTTTGTCTTTAATTTTTGGCATTTTAATTACTATGTGTCTTGGTGTGGGCCTGTTTGGGTTCTTAATTGGGTTCTCTGTGCTTCTTGAACTTGAATACCTTCTTCCTTCACCAAATTAGGGAAGTTTTTTGTCATTATTTCTTCAAATACATTTGAAGAAATTCTCTAACCCTTGCTCATTTTCTTCTTCTTCAGGGACTCCTATGATGTTAATGTTATTACGGTTCCAGTTGTCTCACAGTTTCTTAAGCTGTTTTTCTGTTTTTTTAATTGCTTTTTTTTCCTTTTGGTTTTTTGATTGGTGATATTTTTCTACTCTGTCTTCTAATTCACTGATCCGGTCCTCAGCTTCCTCTATTCTGCTGTTCAGTCCTTCCATTGAGTTCTTTATTTCTGCTATGTCATTCTTAATTTTTCTTGGTGGTTTTTCATTTTCAATTGATTGATTTTCAATGTTTTTATTATTTTTACTCATGGTGTTGATGTCCTTACTCATGCTGTTGAACTTTCTTAAGATCATGGCTCTGAGCTCTACCTCGGATAACTTGCTTAACTGCATTTCATTTATCTCATCTTTGGTAGAGGTCTCGTTCTTTCAGTTGAGATTTGTTTCTTTGTTTCACCATTTTGGCTATGTTGGTGGATTTTGGAGCCTGCTAAATTTTCCCTGTGGAAAAGGTGTTCTGCTGTTTGTGGCTCCCTCTACTGGGTTTGGATGAGCCTGGGTGGGTCCACGTTAAACACCACTGTCAAGTCACTTTCCTGGGTAGATTTGGAAGCCCAGGAAAGGTTCAGTTATCCTCTAGCTTTTTGCCTGGAGGGTATTAGTCTCAGTTATTTGAAAAGTCTTGGGTTCTCAGTGGAATGAAAAACTACCTCAGGTGTTCATTGTAAGAGGATTTCCTGAGGGTGGGGCAGATGCTGGTTGTTATTGAGCTTCAATTTGCATTTTTTTGGCCCAGGTGGGGGGCGTTAAATCTCCGAGGTAAGGGCTGCTGCTTCTCCCCAGATCTTGGGGAAGGAGTAAGATGGCCACTGTCCTGTGTGGCCACAACTCAGCAAAAGCTTGAGCACCCTCCAAATCCTGAGTGTCCCCACACAGTGCCAGTCCAGTCTGCCCTCCCTGTGCCAGAGCCCAAGGTAAGTAGCTGTAGCTCATTAAGTTTTCTGTACCGGCCCTCTGTGTTGTGGAGCTCGCTTGGGATTTTAACCCCAAGGGTGCTGCTCACAGGTAAGACCGCTGCTGTCTGTGGGCTCCCAGCCCCCTTTTCGTGCCTCTACAGACCCACCAGGCTCAATTCAATATCCCTGGATATATGGTCTTCTCAAGCTGCTTTTCTGTTGCTTTTTCCCGATGATTGGTCTTTATTTTAGTTGTAATTCAAGTTTGGTCCTGGGAGATCGTCTTTTTAGCTTCCACTTATTCCGCTGCCATTTTGGAATCTCCAAAGTACTCTTCCTTCTACCTATTAATTTTATCCTGAGGTCACTGTATTGCCTTTCTGAATTTTCTTGTAGCTCATTGGATTTCTTCTTAAGAAGTATTTCGAGTTCTTTTCAGTGAGATCACAGTATTCCATATTTTGAGGTTTGGTCACTAGAACATTGTCACTTTCTTTTTGTAATATTATTACAATTTTTCATTGTGTTTGTTGAACAGTCTCTCTGCTGCTGCATTTGAAGTAGTGAACACCTTTGTTCATTTTGATTCTAATAGTTCAACAGGTTCATAATTAGGAGCCTTTCTTTTGTAAAAACAAACAAAAAGAAAAAGCTACAGGGGAGGTATTTGTGGCTTTAGGTGTGCCCATGTAGGGGGATCCTCCATTGGGGGAATCACAGAGATCTGTAGGTGGATCTTTTGCCAGTGTCCCATGGCATACAGAAGGAAACACATTCCTTCATCTCTGTCTGTCTGCCTTCTTCCCTTTTCTTTTCTTCCACCTAGTGACTGTGGTCCTTTCTCAGAGAGAGCAATGGTTTTTTCCAGCTGCATCATACACAGCAGGGCAGACCTTCCATTCACTATCTTCACCCTTCACCTCCTCTGCCAGAAAGGTCATGCTGGCCTGGCTCTGCAGCCTTCCCTGAGACCCAGTGCACACACTTTTGGGTGTACAGATGGATGGATCTCTTGAGTATCCTGGTGTGCTGTGCAGAAGGCACTTTTGTTCCATTATAGATGTCCAATTACTTGTAAGTCAAAGGGGAGAGAAAAAAGGAATAACTCATGCCACCATGATGCTGATATTATCTAAAATAAAATATTTTAACATAAATTCTTTTATAAACTTCATGGAACATGTTGAAGACCGTGGAAATGACTATTATTTTTATTTAGAAATATTCTCCAAGGCAATTTCTGCACCTTGAATAGTGCTATGTAATTGTACACAGCTGTCTTCATGTCTATTTGCCCAAATAATGATTCTCAAAAGCCTCTGTTTGTCATCACATCCTTTAGCTGTCTTTTTGCTCCCAACTTAAATGACTATTCATGTACCTTTCAGACAAATGCTTAAGAAATTATTTGTAAATCATTGTGAAAAACAAAGAAAGGAATAATAGCTAAGTATTAAATTGTTGGTCAGTCTTTTTCAGTTTATTTTGTTTTCTAAACATTAATCTTAGCCTGGTTTGTATGTCTTGCATAGTACTACTAAAAAAAGGCACTTTGATACTAAGTGCAATGTTTTACTGTTGAATTATTTTTTAACTATTATTATTGTGTGTTTATACACACATCATAGGAACTATCGAAAAACCTTGAACTAAGTAGTAACAGTTTCCAACGACAACTGATTGCTGAAAGGAAAAGGGCATATGACGCTCATGATGAAAATAAAGTTCTTCAAAAGGAGCTACAACAACTATATCACAAATTAAAGGTAAGCACTTTATTTATTTATTGTTGCTGAAAGTATTACAAGATGTCCCCTTTTTCCCCATTGATGCCTTCCTCCCCGCTCCCACCTCCCTCCTGCTTTCCCCAACTTATGTCTGTGACCATTGGTTGTGCGTATATGCATGTATGTTCTTTGGTTTATCTCTTCCCACCCTTCCCATCCCCATCCCTCTGAAGTTTGTTAGTCTGTTCCCTACTTCCATGGCTCTGGATCTGTTTTGGTCAACAGCTTAATTTGTTCATTATATTCCATAAATCAGTAAGATCATGTGGTACTTGTCTTTCTCTGACTCTTATTTTGCTTAGCATAATACTCTCCAGGTCCCTCCAGGTCCTCTCAAAGGGTAATAGATCCTTCTTACAGCTGCATAGTATTACATTGTGTAAATGAACCACAGTTTTTTTATCCACTCATCTACTGATGGGCACTTGGGCTGTTTCCAGATCTTAGCTATTATAAATAGCGCTGCTATGAACATAGGGGTGCATATATTTTTCCTGATTTGTTTTTCACGCTTAGGATATATTCCAAGAAGTAGGATCACTGCGTCAAATGGCAGTTCCATTTTTAATTTTTTGAGGAAGCATCATATTGTTTTCCACAGTGGCTGCATCAGTCTGCATTCCCACCAGCAATGTCCTGGAGTCCCCTTTTTCCACATCCTCACTAGCACTTCTTTGAGGATTTATTGATGGCCACTGTTCTGGCAGGTGTGAGGTGATATGTCATAGTCTTTTTGATTTGCATTTCTCTGATGATTAGAGATGTTGAACATTTTTTCATATGTCTCCTGGCCATTTCTATGTCCTGCTTAGAGAAGTGTCTGTTCAGGTCCTCTGTCCAATTTTTAATTGGATTGTTTGTCTTCCTTTTGTTGTTGTATGAGTACTCTATATATTTTGGATATTAACCCCTTATCCAATGTATCGTCGGCAAATGTGTTCTCCCAGAGAGTGGGTTTCCTTTTCATTTTGATGCTGGTTTCTTTTGCTGTATAGAAGCTTTTAAGTTTGATGTAGTCCCATTTATTAATTTTTTCCATTGTTTCTCTTGCCCTAGACAATGTTATCAGTGAAAATTCCGCTATATATGATGTTTGAGATTTTTCTGCCTACATTTTCACCTAGGGTTTTTATGGTTTCACAAGTGACATTTAAGTCCTTTTCCATTTTGAGTTTATTCTTGTGTATAGTGTAAGTTGGTAGTCTAGTTTAATTTTTTTTTGCCTGTAGCTGTCCAATTTCCCAACACTATTTATTGAAGAGACTATCTTTTCTTCATTGTATACTCTTTGCCAGATATTAATTGTGCATACTGTCTTGGGTCGATTTATGGGTTCTCTGTTCTGTTCCATTGATGTATAATGCCTGTTCTTGCGCCAGTACCAAGCTGTTTTGATTATGATGGCTTTGTAGTATAACTTAATATCTGGTATTGTAATCTCTTCCATTTTGTTCTTCTTTTTCAGGATTGCTGTGGCTATTCAGGGGCTTTTATGGTTCTATATAAACTTTTGGAGTATTTGTTCTAGATTTATGAAATATGCTGTTGATACTTTAATAGGGATTGCATTGAATCTATAGATTGCTTTGAGTAGTATGAACATTTTAATAATATTGATTCTTTTAACCTATGAACATGGTATATGTCTTTTACCTCCTTGGTTAAGTTTATTCCTAGGTATTTTATTTTTTGTTGTTGCAATGGTCAATGGGATTTTTTTTTTAGTTTCCCTTTCTGAATGTTCATTATTAGTGTATAAAGTATCATCATTTTCTGGATGTTAATTTTGTATCCTGCTACTTTGCTAAATTCATTTATTAAATCTACTAGCTTTTTGATGGAGTCTTTAGGGTTTTCTATGTACAATATCATGTCATCCATGAATAATGACAGTTTTACTTCCTCCTTTCCAATTTGGATCCCTTTTATTTTTTCTTTTGGTCTAATTGCTGTGGCTATGGCTTCCAGTACTATGTTACATAAGAGTGGCGAAAGCGGGCATCCCTGTCTTTTTTCTGTTCTTAAGGGAAATGCTTTTAGTTTTTGCCCATTGAGTATGATGTTGGCTGTAGGTTTTTTATATGTGGCCTTTATTTTATTTATTTATTTTTCCTCAGAGAGAGAGGAAGGGAGAAGGAAAGAAAGATAGAAACATTGATGAGAGAGAACATCAGTTGGCCACCTCCTGCATACCTTCACTGGAGATTGGGCCCACAACCTGGGCATGTGCCCTGACTGGGAATCGAACCACTGACCTCTTGGTGCATGGGTCAACGCTCATCCAGTGAACCACACCAGCCCGGCTGGCCTTCATTATGTTGTGATATGATCCCTTTATTTCCACTTTGCTGAGTATCCTTATCAGAAAGGGGTGCTGGATTTTGTCAAATGCTTTTTTAGTATCTATTGATATGATTATTTGGTTTTTATCTTTCATATTGTTTATGTGGTGTATCACATTTATTGATTTGCAAATTTGTACCATCCGTGCATCACTGGGGTGAATCCCACCCGGTCTTGGGGAATGATATATTGCTGGATCCGATTTGCTAAAATTTTGTTGAGGATTTGGCATATAGATTACTTTTTTGGTAGTGTCTTTATCTGGTTTTAGAATTAGGATTATGCTAGCTTCATAAAAAGCTTGGAAGTCTTTCTTCCTCTTGAATTTTTTGGAATTTAATTTGAGGAGAATGGGTGTTAGTTCTTCTTTGAACGTTTGGTAAAACTTCCCTGTGAGGTCATCCAGACCCAGGCTTTTGTTGCTGGGAGTTTATTGATTACAGCTTCATTTTCCTCAGTTGTTGTTGGTCTGTTTAAGTTTTTTGACTCTTCCCGGTTCAGTTTTGGGAGACTGTGTGATTCTAGAAATTTGTCCATTTCGCCTAGGTTGTCCAATTTTTTGGTGTATAATTGTTCATAGTATTTTCTAACAATCTAAGCACTTTATTTTAAATAGCATTATTTCTCCCTATAATATATATTTGATGAAAACTGAATATTTTACAACACTGATACCTTTCATATTTCTAAGTGGTACTATATCATTTAAAAAATTTCAGTATCATCTTTGGCACTAATAAAGAAAAGGTTTATTAATATAATCACTATGACACGTGTCAAAAATGAAACATTGAATACACTAATAGGAATGATATAACTGAAATAAGTTATAAAATCCTGGAAGAAAATGATGGGAACTAGAGTTCTTCTGTCACATGGTTGAATAATCTTGTGTTCTTCCTCAGATAATCCCATGCTTAATAATTTTTTATTTTTAGTTATTTTAAATAATGCCCTTCATTTTCACAGTATTTAGAGGAAGCATTTAAATTAGTATATTTTGTTAAAATAGGTGTTCTTTTCATTCTTCCCTGAACTCACTGATGGGTGGAAATTTTGTGTAAAATTTAGTGTTCATACCTTATCTTGCATAAAATTTTTACTTTGTTAATCAAATTATCAGAGAAGAGTGTAGTCCCAAAATGGTTAAGAACACCTGTATTTTTTTTTAAAGGTCTAATTTTTTAACTCATTAATAATTGATAACTCACATTTGAGAGATGCTAACTAAATTCTTTGTCTCTGTTGCTAAGCCTGGAAGACAGTTTAGGACAATAATAGCTCTATAAGGTAGGAGTGGGTAGAAAATGAATTATGCCTATTTTCTCTCTTTTTTCAACTGCCAATATATATTGGACTGTGTAGGGAGAATCATTGTCACTACCTAACTATTAAAATAATTGTCTCCAGGACATTTAGGTTAGGGTAGAGCAAAGGGAAACTGAACTATATAGGTATTCCAATTTGGTAAGTAAAATACTATTTGACAAGGTGAGTATTTTTGTTTTGTTTTGAACTGAGACTCTGTGTCCTTAATTGTATTGGATTTGTTTTCAGGAAAAGGAGAGAGAATTGGATATAAAAAACATTTATTCTAATCGTCTACCAAAGTCTTCTCCAAAGAAAGAAAAAGAACATATATCAAGAAAAAATGGTATAGTAGCTATTACTAATAACAAAACAAATTCTGAAATAGAAGGAAAGGGGAAAGAACTTTATTGAAATAAATTTAAGTTTCCTTTAAACTACTGACTAGTTTAATATTTAATATTAAATAATTTTCAGTAATTCAACTTTCTCAAGTTTTTTCTGAGTTCACAAGTTATATTTTGCATAATTTATTAAAATTTTTCTTTAAGCATGCCCCAAACTAGAGTGTAATGAACCTTTACTTACAAATCACCTAGCTTTTAACAGTTATACATTTTTACTAATTTCATCTTTTTTTTACTTTTTTCCAGAGTATTTACAGTAAATCCAGCTATTTCATTTCACTCATAAATACTTTGGTATTGTTATACAAATATGTTTATCTTTTGTTTAAACAAAAGTACTGTATAATTTTCCTCTTCTATAAATTACAAAAAGTTAAAAACAAACTTTGTAAAAGCTTAATGAAATTTACCTGTCAGAATTGTCCTCAAATTATGTAATGGCCAATAAATCCTAGAAACTGAAATATGAATGTGAGTAGTCATGGAGCTGAGCAAAACATACATTATCTCATTTAGATGGTGAATATATATGCCACCTGAATTCCATATATCTTAGCAATGTTTAATATGATTAGAAAAACTCTTTTATAATTTTCATGGTGTTTCAAGCTGCATGCCAGAGTGATTTTGCATACCACTGTACAAAAGGAGTACAAACCAGTGAAGACTTCAAGCTACAAGACTTTCCTATTATACCACAAACAGTCATGTGTTATGAAAACAAATGGGAACCTGAACGTCTTTCTTTGGTGAGTTTAGCAATATGATTATGTACCAAGCTCTGAGTTTGAAGTTATTCCTATAACATCAAACATTTAACAATTTCAGCAATGACACTAATGCTACATATGTCAATGTGCAGCTAGCCTTTCAAAGAGAGTGACAGATAACATCTGTATATTTTTATTAAATTCCACTGGATTGACTCTTCACATTGCATTTCAGATGCTTCAAAAAGGTTGATTGTACCTTTTGGGTTGGAGATAGAAGGGAAGAAAAATTTACTTTACAAGTATCTTACCTTGTGCTGAAATAGTGTAAAAATCCTCCTTGCTTTTATGTTTAAAAGCAAATAATAGTACCTTTCAAATGATTTGTTAGAATTTGACTACATTTTGGGGGCCTTCTTTGTTAGAGACTTTTACAAGTGAGCCGAAAGCTGAGCAAAATAATTGCAGTGAAACCTGACTTGGTAAAGTTTCAATTAGAGTGGCATTCCATGAGCCTTCATTAATAGGACTTATGTTCTGAATACTGGAAGGTCCTTTTCTCTAAGAGGTTTTTCTCTTTAGTGTTTAGTTTAAAATCCAAAGGAAATGTGTACCAGAGCACCATCATATTTTATATAGTCCATGTTTTTGTGCCTTGTAAGTTTCCCCTTGACCCTGAGATCTCTTCTTATATAATACAGAAAGGATGGACTGATTTGGTTCTTGTGTGTATTCTAGTTTTTTTGTTTTGTTTTACAATTTAGACAAATTAGCTCCATCTGCTGTGTTTCTTCCTGTATTTATACTATCATTGATACTGGAGATCATGTTAATTTTCCTTTTTGAAAGGGTAAAATGTGGAATAGCAAAGTAATTCTTAACTTTACAATAGTGTTTTTTTAAGTTTCAGCAGGAGGAACAGCAACTGGATATAGTGAAAAGAGAACCTTGGAATTAACATTCCATTTTAGTTAAATTCTAGTTCTAACATTTTAGTTGTGTGACTTCTTGGAGCTTCAGTTTCCTAATTTATAAAATGGGGGTGCATTGCCCTTTAGGGTCTTGGTAATAACTAATCACAAAGTTTGTGAAGTTCTTAAGATGGATTCTTCCACTATAAAGAGCCTTAGCAAATGGGAACTTTGTTAAAGTACAGGCCAAGTTGCTTTTAAAAAGAGACCCAGAATACAATGGCTCAAGCAAAATACAAATTTGTTTTTCTTGTAATAGACTGAAGGTCAGCAGGTAGTCCAGAATAAGTTGACAGTTTTGTTCCATGGTAGTCATCCTTTATCTTATTACTCTTCCATCTTGAAGAGTGTGGTCTTCTTTTCTATTGTTGGAACTGGCTCATTACCCCTATGAAAAGGAGGAATGAGGAAGTGAAGGGCAAGCAGCTTTTATAAATATGATCAGACATTGTATACATACTTCCACTCATACCCTATTGATCCTGCCTAGCTGCAAGGGAGTCTAGTCAATGTAGTCTCCAGTTGAGCAGCCCTGTGCTCTGCTAAAACTCAAGGTATTTTGTAACTAAAAGGAAGATGGAGCCCTGGCCAGTTTGGCTCAGCGGTTAGAGCGTTGACCTGCGGTCCGGAGAGACCCGGGTTCGGTTCCCGCTAAGGGCACGTACTTCGGTTGCAGTTTGTCCCCAGCCCTGGTTGGTCGTGCGGGTGGCAGCCACTCGATGTGTCCCTTCACATCGATGTTTCTCTCTCTCTCTCCCTTCCTCTCTCTCCCTCCCACTCTATCTGTACAGAAAATGGAAAAATATCCTCGGGTGAGGATAAAAAATAAATAAAAGGAAGATGGATACCAAGGGACAATGCTCTACTCTACAAGGTTACTAAAAATAGATATTTTAAGAAAAATTACACACATGAAAGTGACCATAAGAAACAAGGAACTGAAGTTTATATTTTCATTTGATTTGAATGTTGCAAAATTTATTAATCAAAGGCTTTGGGCCTAAAGGTATAGGTGAGACTCAAATCCTAGTATAAACTCGAAAGATTCAGTGTAATTGTCTCTGCCTTTGTTATAATTCAACACCATCTCAGTAGGCCTTTATACATTTACTGCTTAACTGAATTAATCAGATTTTGTTGTGAAATGTACAAAGCAAGGATACTTCTGAAACTTGTCTCTTCAGAATTCTATGTAGGGTATTGACTTTAATTCTAGTATATGGGTTTTGGTTTTGATATAGGTTATAAATACTTCTTTAAAATTTTAACTAAAGTAAGAAATAAAGCTGTGTCCTTTTGAAGTGTCTTTCAAAGGTTAACTTCTCACTCACTGATTTATTAATTGAAAATTTGCTTTAATTTCTCATCTATTTGATATCATGCTTAATGGGAGATAAATGTATATTTAAGTAGCTCCTTTTCCTTTTTCTTCATGTAAACTTGAATTTTTCTTTTAAACATGTAATAGGACCTGATATCTCAAGAGAGAGATGAATATGAAGAAGCAGAGATTCTAAACCCAGTTGTGGAAAGAGAAGAAAATTTTGTTAAAGATCAAGGAATCCATGTTGTAAAACAAGAGGTTGAGAAGCTGGAGGATGGTAAGAGTTTGTTTAAACACTGATGAGTTAACATCCTCGAATATCTTCCAGCTGAAGAATGAATTGGATATACAGAACAAGATAAGAGTGGAAGGGGCTGTTCTCTGAGGAATCACAAACATTTGAATGAAGTTACTAAGGAAAGAAAAAAATTAAAACCGTATTACAGTTGCTATTTGGGGTTAGGGAATAAGGACAAAGTTACTTTCAGAAAATTCAGACAAACGGGAAAAAATTCTTTGTGTATTAACTAAAGGTTGGTGACGCTATAATTGAAATACAACCTTCTTTATTGGCTTGACCTTAAATTTCTCTAGTGTGTAGACAAGCCCAAGCATTAAAATAAATTAATACATTGTGAGGTCCTGAATATATTGCTATAACTTTTTTTAATATGTAAAGTAAATTTTTAAACATGTTCAACCATTAGTGTGGAAATTTAGTGAACCAACTCACATGATTTCAGATACTGGAAATGAAGTTCAGGAATAAATTCATTTCCATCTGTCTTAAAGCTGTCTAATCTTTTAATGTATTGCATTAGTTATATAGTAGCTGTTTTACAGAGAACCCCCCCCCAAAGTTAATGGAACATAAAATCTGACTAATTGTTACTTAACTAAGTGTATGTATGTATTTAAAACAATTTAACAGTTGAATAGAAGCTATATTTACACCACTGTTGGCTAATGTACAAAGGGAGGTGCTTTCACATGTTAAACTATAGAATAGAAAATTAGGTGTTATGTTTAATTCTGTCTAGGAACCAAGAAAAGGAGTAAATTATTACGATCACTTTTCCTGGAGTTTATATGGAATGATCTCTGACATCAGTGAGAATGGATACCATTTACTAAAACTACCAAATGCATATTGTTCTTACATATGTTAATATTTTTAATTTTGGAAATCTCAAAATTATAGCAAAGCAGAAATAATAGCCAAAGAACTATTTAAGATTAAGTTGTATACCCCATGCTTATACCCTAAAATACTTTTATGTATATTTCACCAAAATAAGGGCATTCCCTTAATGTCATATCATTCCAGTGTCATTTTCAATAAATTTAACTTTGATACAACCTGTTTGTCTAATCTGCTGTCTATATTAGTTTAGTCCTTTATAGCATTTTCTTATGTGGAATAGCTTCTTAGCCTTTTAAAATATTTTGTGAGATATTACTGATGAATATAGACATAGAATGTTCCTCATTTGAGGTTTATTTAAAGCTTTCTCTTAATTAGATTCAGGTAAGGCATCATCTGTCAGAATACTACATAAGTGATGTGTGTGTCTCAGGGTAGGACATCCAGAGGTTCAATTTAAGTTTAAAAGTCTTTTCTCCAACCATCCCACCATCCCCATTCAGTGTGCAGCACTGTATCAGGTATAAAAAAATAGAGCATTCTTCCCTACCCCTAAATTGAAGAACAAAATTTTAAAATGTGAATCTTAAATGCAATATACATTAAATATATTCTTTTTGAATCCCAGATTATCAAGTATTGAAATGAAATTTATGGTGTCCATTTTCACTGTAGTAATAATACCCAAATTAAATAGACTATTGTTTTGTAAAAGATGAGAATTGAAGCTTTCTGTTTAAAAATATTAACTGTTGAGAAAAACAGTACCACCTGATCTCATTTATGGAATATCATGAACAAAATAAGCTGACGATCAAAATAGATCCAGAGACTTGGAAGTAGGGAACAGACTGACAACCCTCAGAGGATAGGGCGGTGGGGGTGGGTTGGGAAGAGATAAACCAAAGAACTTATATGCATAACCAGTGGACTCAGGGGGGAGACATCTGTAAATACTTGCAGTAATAAGATAAAAAATAAAAATATTGACAAATTTTAAAATTTGATTTTATACAGAATGGGAAAGAGAAGAACTTGTTAAAAAGCAAAGAGAAAAGACATCCGTGCTGCAGAGAGAAGAAAAGCCAGCATTAGAAACTGGAAGGTACCAAATTCAAAATATTGATAAATTGGAAGAAACGGAAGAAGAAAGGCTGAAGAGAGAACTGCTACTGGCTAAACTGAATGAAATCAGCAGAGAAGCTCAGGATCCCCAGAAGATAAAATGTCTGCCTCTGCCGTTGCTTCCTGGTTTGGAATCTAAACTGCACTCCCCAGAGAGAAGCCCCAAAACATACATGTTCTCTGAGTCCTCAGAGAGATTATTTAATGGGCATCGTCCGCAAGACATCAGTCTTTTAACTTCAAAAAGAGATGGTCGGAATCCAGGAAGTATCAGAAGCCCAGTCTCTCCAAATGATCTTGTATTTGGCAGCTACGTGCCTTCATTTGCAAAAACATCAGGGAAGTCCAACCTACTTAGCCAAAAAAGTGGCCTTTTGGATTTCCAAAGAAACAGTATGGAGAAACTTAGTAGAGACGGTGTAGATTTAACTACAAGGAAAGAGAGAAAAGCTAACCTGATGGAACAGCTGTTCGGTGCCAGTGGCAGCAGCACTGTTTCCTCCAAAAGCAGTGACCGGAACTCCCTGGCTGCCAGCAAGGGAGACTTCGACCCTCTGAGTTTTCTCCCTGGGGACAAAAGCAGCAGGGGGAGAGAACATGACGAAGATGACTACTTCCTCAGTGAAGGAAGAAGTTTTAATCCAAATAGACCCAGATTAAAAAATGCAAACAATAAGCCAGCAGTAAAAGCAGTTGATTCTGTAGAAGATGAAATTGAAGAAGTAGCACTGAGATGACTGACTAGCGTATGCATTTTTCCAATTGTAAATATTAAAATATTTTAATACAGTGTATATTACAAACACTTAGACTCTTAATATAGAAAGTCCTTATTAAGGAATGATTTTAGTAGACAACTACAGTGTCATACCACATAGACAGTTTGCCAAGAACAAAGGAGGCACTTTTGAATGAAACCAAAAATAGAGCTATATCTTACTTAGTTTTGACTTTATTTACAAATAGGTTTTACCTCTTAAGCTCCATGGGAAGTTTCACTCCATTGGAGTTCTTATTCATTTTCTATTTTTAATCCCTATTTATTAATTTGTATTTAGCTCAGTGAGGATATGACCAAAATATGTTCATTATTGAAGGTAAATTAAGGGTGAGAGACACTGTTGGGAGGTATAACTCCCAGGTGGTGGAGAACAGGTGCTACTTTGGAGCCCAGTCTTTAATGTATAGGGGTGGAGGTTCTTTTCTTACATGGCAGGGCTGAGCTACTTTTAAGTGGAAGCAACCATAACATTGGAATTCCCTTTTCCGTTGAAAGAAACCGAAGTCAAGAGCTGCTCATTTCCCAATTACAAGTCTTGTTAAATCACTCACCTACAACTGTGCTAACATAGTAGGTTGAATTCAGAAGACGTTTGTTTGCATGGACAATTCTGACATGGCTTCCAGCATAATCAGTAATCCTAGTTCTCTTACACTATTTGTATTTGAGATTTCATTCCAACATAGAAGGATTTTCAACTCAATTATGTTTCCAAAGTAATATAACTTGGAAATTTTAATATATACTATTAAGATTTGAATTTACTGTCAAACCAAAGAGACAATATTAGTGTGATACTATTTGTACTTACAGGATTTATTTTAGAGCAAATTTGTTTAAAGGCGTTTTAGAAATGGGATTTTTTGCCTTGCAGTGTAGGGTGAATGTGTTTCTGTTGAAATGCATTTGCACTAGTCTTTTGCTCTTTGTAGCTCACTTCATCTGCAAAGGACTTAATGACCATGGATTATGCTGGGTATGATTGGTCTTTAAGAAGTAGTAATACATTACCAACCAAGTAGAGTTTTCTGTTAACACTTAAAATGAAGAGGGGTAGAAATGGTGTCAGGGGAAGAATAAAAATGTAGATTGGCACTTACTCTAAAGTGAGCTGGTTTTGTTATTTTTTCACTCAGTATGATTTCTAATGCCAAGCATACACATGAATGAAGGTACAAGTGTTACTGTTTTATCTTGAGTACTTGTAAATGCCTATTATTTAATATAATTTCATAACTATTTGATAAGACTTTACCTGGTTAGGTCTCTAATTAAAAGATGTATCAGCTATCTTTTAAATTGTGTTCCTGTCATTTATTGGGAATCAAAGTGCTAAACTGTATTTTTTAAATGTCTTAATAGACTTTTTATGTCTGATATAAATAAGCATTTAGTGTGTTGCAAATTATTCTAATATATGTAAACCACAGTATTGTAATGTTAATTTTGTTCATAGCTGCTAGGTGTTCTGCCAAATGTATTCTAATATTTAGGTGGTTTTGTCTTACAAGCTTTTTAAAAAGCCTTTTGGTAAAGTTTTATATTCAGGTCATTTTAATTACTCTCAGGTCATTTTAATTATTCTCTTACTTTTCTCTACCTAATATTTTTTAGGCTTTTTAACCAGATGCAACAAGACAGAATTATTAAATTTAAACCTAAAATTAAGTTATAGTCTTAGAAGCATTAAAATTGGAGATTAAAATGTACAGAACAGGTTTTTCTTTATGAATAAACCTTAGAGAGTAAATCATATTTTTTCTAAATGTCAAGTTTGTTATTTGTACTCAGAATTCTTACTAATAAAAGTTAAAAACACACTATGACTCTTTGTTTGAATGATACCTTAGGTCACTTAGGAAATGTATAGTGGAAATAGGACCTGCAGGGTTAATTTTTATTTCGTTATTCACCTTTTTTTTCTGTCCAGTATTTTTAGCTGAATTTGCCCTAAATCAGGTTAGACAGTATGCTAGTATTATCAGATAATTATAGTTTTAATTAATCCTTTCACCCTTACTGGCATCATAATGACATATATTGCTCGTAATATAAAAATGGTGGTGGGGGTAAGGAGAATTAAATTGAATCATAAACTTATTATATGGCTCACTCTCCGTTTTTTTTTTAATCTCTCTATCTCACATTCAGACACACAAAACTTCCAGTGTCCCTTGTTGGGTGTTGAGTATCTGCCTGATGAAAAGGGGATGGGAAATTTGTATTATGGTAACAATATGGACCTTTTAGGATTCAAGTTACCATAAATTGTCAAAAAAGGATCTGCCTTTAAAGCTTTTTGCTATCTATACAATAAATACCCCTTTCACAAGAAAGCCTATTACATCATTTGAAAGTGCTCTCCTTTCCGTAAAGAGCATGCATTCGTCAATTATGAGTGCTTCCTGGGTGTGTTGCACTGTATTAGATGCCAGGAGAGGAGAACAGACCTGCCCACTCTCCCTAGGTGTCTTTGGGTTCCGAAGCTTTTACTGGTCTTTTAACATACACCTTAAGGTGGTTTTGAGAAGTAAATGAACAACTTAGGTCGATGGTTGGCTGGGTGTCTGGTATATTATAAGCATTCAGTAAACAGTTATATCTAATATCTAAGTTTGTTTTAGGACATATTTAAAAAATAGAGCATAGGCCAACTTCTGATCAAGATGGCAGAGTAGGTAAATGCTGTCCTGCCTCCTCCCATGACCACATAAAAAGTACAACTAAATTATACAACAACCATCATTGCAAACCACCTGAAGACTAGCTGAAGTCCTATAACTAAGATTATAAAAAAGTCATGAGAGTAGTAGAAGGGGCAGAGACACAGAATAAGCAGGCTCCACACCCATAGTGTGGTAATTAAGAAACAGGAGGGATATCTCAGCTGCAGATGGACCTACCGATGAGCAAGTGTTCCTAGCCCCATACTTGTATCCCCAGGGAACCAGTGCCGGAAAGAGGAATCCTCATAACATTAGGCTATGAAAACCTGTGGGGATTGCATCCAAGTAAGACAAATGGCTGCTGGAGCCCCAGGCATTCCCCTTGAAGGCCTACATACAGATTTACTCCCAGCCTCACTTACTCTGGGCTTCAGTATAGGGGTGGCAGCTTGAACAGCAGGGATCTATAGGGAGGAACTGAATTGAGTAGCTTCAGGGCTAAAAGGACAGGGTTCAGGGCAGCTCTTGCTGGGGTCACGTGCTGGCAGGTACCATTGCTTCTTTGCTGAGCTCACACACACACACCCTCCACCACTCAACCAGCAGGTGTAGGTGGGTGCCAAATCTGAGCTCTCCATTAAGCTAGCTAACACCACCCCACCCTGGCGATTACTTGAGACCCTGCCAAACCACTTCCAGAAACTTTCATATAAGTGGCCTGCCTTGGCTCTTACCGTAGACGTTCCTAAAATCAAAGGTTCACAAGCCCTAAATAAGCAGCTGCTGACTATGGCGTGTTCTTGTACCTCTTGCTAAACAGTCCCAAGACTTGCACAAGGGGTGACCAGCCTTAACTTGCATTGTAACACCTATCAGGTGGCTCCAACCTGGCATTAGCTGTAGCTAGTGTTAACCCAGGTACATATAGTTTCAACTAAGAAGCTATCAACCCTGCACAAGAAGTGGCTCACCTAAACTCACATTGTGGTGCATACCAAAGGTCCCACATATGGTGCTGTGGCAGCTGGCTTCATTTCGCAACATAGCCTCTTACTAGTGCCTCCAAGCCCAGCCCAAGAGACAATCAACCACAGATAACTTTGTAGCTCCTACTAAGCAGTCTCAATCCAGGAACACATAGCAGCTGAACTTGGCCTGCACCAGAGCCCCTCTCAAGAGGTTCCAGAACCAACACACCAAGTGGATGGTTTCAGATCACAGCAGAGCACTGCTCAACTCCACAAATGACACATTGAAAGGGCAGACTCCACTAGCACCATAGCCCTACTGAAATGATTCCTGCTCTGTGGGGTAAGCCCACACACAACAGCTTGTCTAGTATAGTCATAATCAGTCAGCTTGATATTCAATCCCACCCACTGATGTGTCAACAGCAGTCAAGGCTCAGCTAGAGTAGGAGGACAAAAACAATACCTGAGGAATACTCCTGGAGCACCCGGCTCAAGTGAACAAGGAGACTGTACTACTGAGCCTGATAGGACACCTACTATTTAAGGTTACTCTGCAAAGACTGGGAGATGTAGCATATCTACCTAATACATAGAAACAAACACAGGTGGCAGCCAAATGAGAAAGAAATGCCCCAAATGAAAGAAAAGGAAAAACTCAAAGAAAAAAACTAAAGGAAATGGTGACAGCAATCTACCAGACACAGAGTTCAAAACACTGGTTATAAATATGCATATAATGAACTTAGGAAAAGAATAGATGAATTCAGTGAGAACCTGAACAAACAAACTATAAAAAAGAACCAGTCAGAATTGAAGAACACAAGAACTGAAATGAAGAATACATTCGAGAGAATGAACAGCAGATTAGAGAAGTATAGGCTCAAATCAGCTATCTGGAAGACAATGTAAAGGAAAACACCCAGATGAACAGCAAAAAAAAAAAAAAAAAAAAAAAATGAAAAAAAATGAGTATAGTTTAAGGGGCATCTGGGACTACATCAAGCATACCAATATTTGTATCATAGGGGTACCAGAAGAAGAGAGAGAGCAATGAATTGAAAACATATTTGAAAAAATAATGACTGAAAACTTCTCTAACCTGGTGAAAGAAATATACATAAAAGTCCAGGAAGTGAATCAAACAAGGAGAACCCAAAGAGATCCACACCGAAACACATTGTAATTAAAATGTCAAAGGTTAGTCCAGTTGGTGTGGCTTAGCAGTTGAGCATTGACCCATGCACCAAAAGGTCACCAGTTTGATTCCTGGTCAGGACACTGCCCAGGTTGTGGGCCCAGTTCCCAGTGGGGGGCATGCAGAAGGCAGCCAATCGATGTTCTCTCTCATTGATGTTTCTATCTCTTTCTCCCTCTCACTTCCTTTCTTTCAAAATCAATAAAAAGGGGAAAAAATAATAAATAAAATGTCAAAGGTTAAAGACAAAAAGAATATTAAAAGTAGCAAGAGAAAAGCAGTTAGTTATATACAAGGGAGCTCCCATAAGACTCTCAGCATATTTTTCAACACAAACTTTGCAGGCAGAAGGGAGTGGCATGAAATAGTAAAAGTGATGAAAAGCAAAGACCTACAACCAAGTTACTCTACCAGCCGACTATTATTTAGAATTGAAGGAGAGAAAATTTCCCAGACAAGGAAAGCTAAAGGAGTTCTTGACCATTAAGCTAGTGTTAGAAATGTTAAAGGGACTTCTTTAACTAGAAAAGATTAAAAATATGAATAAGAAAATATAGGAAAGAAAAATATTCTCACTAACAAGGCCAAACACTTAGCAGCAGATTAACCAACTATAAAGCTAGTACAAAGGTTAAGAGGCAAAGTAGGAAGAGCATGTATAATTACAACAATAAAGGACACACACAAAAGATGTTAAAAAATAATAAATGTGGAGGAGGTGAGTAAAATATGTATTGATTTCAGAATTTGTTAGAACTAAAGCAACTATCAATTTAAAATACACTGATATAGATATAACTTGGTATTTACAAAGAACATGGTAACCACAAACCAAAATCTACAAGAGATATACAAGAAATAAAAGGAAAGAATTCAAACACAACACTGCAGAAAGTTATTAACATACAAGGGAAGAGAGCAAAAGAATAAGTAAGGAACAGAGGAGAACTACAAAAACAATTGATAAATGGCAAAAGTACATACCTATCACAAATCATTTTAAATGTAAATGGATTAAATGTTCCAATCAAAAGGCCCAGGTGGCTGAATGGATCAAAAACCAAGACCCACACTTACACTGCCTACAAGACACCCACTTCAGATTGAAAGATATACAGACTGAAAATAAAGAGATGGACACTGATATTTTATGCAATGGAAATAAAAAAAGCTGAGGTAACAATACTTATATCAGACAAAATAACTTTAAAACAAGGGCTGTTAAAACAGATAAGGTGAAGGGCATTTAATAATGAAAAATGGAGAAATCCAACAAGAGGATATAACTCTTATAAATATCTACACACCCAATGTAGGAGCACCTAAATATAGTCATAATAGGGGGACTTTAATACTCCCTTGACATCAATGGGTAGATCATCCAGACAGAAATCAGCAAGGGAAAGTGGTCTTAAATGACACAGACCATATGGATTTAATTGATATATTTAGGACATTTTACCCAAAAGCAACAGAATATACATTCTTTTC